AGATTTTTTTTTTCTTTATAAGAGGATATAAAACATAGCGACTGCTTATAAGGAACAAGTATCAGCCTAAGCAGATATACAGAGAGAGGTATATCTTAAGACACAGTGATGTATGATAAAGGAATATGTGAACATGGAGACTGCACTCTGGGGTACTGGTAGCTGATGCAGAACCACATGGCATTTACAGCGATGTCACAGCTCCAGTAATCTGTGAAAGCCAATGCTTGAACGTGACACCCTTTTCCAAAGCGTGGTCATTTCTGAGTGTTGTGCAACACCCTCAAGATTGGATTTGGTTTGTAAAGCCCATGAGCTGCGTGTTCGCGTGCTGCTGGCGCTCTCCCTCTCCCCTCCACGTGCAATTTTCCCCAGGGGAAAAGAAAAAGGAAGCAGTTACCTGTGCAGGGTTGGAGCCCGCTGAGGCTCAGAGCGGGGCAGGTGCTGCATGTCTGAGCCCTGTGGCCACGCAGCCTCCTCAGAAATTGTTCTGAGGGGTCAGAGACCTACTCGGAGGTTGGCAGTGCCCCTTCCCAGGGCCAGTTATGGGGTCTCCTGGTGGCCATGAGGCCGTGCGCCCTGACCCACGCAAGCTCCTAGCACTGGCCAGGCTGGGAGCTGCGCGTCACGGACCGGGCAGTGACCACGGTGGGGCCGTGGGACACTGCTGTCACGGGGCTGTGGGCAGAGGGCGTCTGCCAGGGGCTGCTCCCCTGCCCTGGGACCACGGGGGAAATGAGCCCCTTGCAGAGAGAATCCACGAGCCACACTTTGCGTCTGGCCTGGCCGAACGTGTCTGTGCATCTTCCATCTCCTCTGACTAAAAATCCTTTCCTTGTCCATCACAGACCAGACCTCTGGATGTTTTCTACTGCACCTGGCTAGGGACAGTAGTAACAGGGAAAAGCCTGCGAGTGCTCTGAACTTTGGAAATGATTGATGACGTGCTGATCGCTTTCCTAGGAGAGCCTGCGATGCCTCGCTCAGGGCCACCAAGTCCCTTCTTTTTTCCCTACCCATGGCAGGGGGGTTGGAACTAGATGATCTTTAAGGTCCCTTCCAACCCAAACCATTCTGTGATTCTATGATTCTTCCTTTAGGAGTATTCACAGTAGCAGAACCTGTGTCCTGCCCCCTGCAGTAACCTACGGGGCTGCCAGGCCAGAGGGTTCAGCGTGTTCTCACAGTGCAATCAGTGCTTTACAACTGCAAAAGCAGAAAACAAAACCAACCAGCCTCAAAATGACAATGAAGAGTGAGGCAGGCCTCTTTGGATGGCAGCGGGATTTGCTTAAACTGGTGCAAAAGGGGCTGGTGACTACACTGTAGTATTAGTTGGTGTGGGGAAGGACTTGGGTCCCTCCCATCTTTTGGCACTGAAGCCATAATCCGTGTCCAAAATGATGACACTGACAGTCTGCAGAGACCTTGGAACACTGTCCAGTCCGTTTCATCCCCTTTACACGAAACTTTGCTCGTTTTTCAGAAGCGTTCACTACAGTTTACCAAAACCCCAAATCAAAACTCTTAGAACAGAATCCTTGAGGCGGACCAGCCCCAAATCTGGATCTCTGGCTTCTCTCCCTTCCCCTTCCCTCAGATCCCCAAAGGGAGGAGGCTGAAGTCATAACCTGTGTCTGGATCCAGCTTTGCTGGTTTGAGGCCACCTCTCCAAAACAGCAGTGAGATACAGCCAAATCCTGACCGAATAAGCAGCACCAGAAGTAAGTTACTATATACAACTGTTAGTGAGATAGATAAGTTACAGTAAACACTGAAAACATTTACAAAAAAAATATTAAGACTTGTATCAGGATAAAAATCTGAGTGTGTTTCCGTTTTGTTTACACTTTGACGAGTTTGCACTAGAACAGCCGCTTACTGTAGAAAGCTCAAGAACGAAAAAGAAAATGGAGCAGATCACGAAACGTTACGGATAGTGGTCGCTTTGCTCTGGGATTGCCTCTGGTATTGCTACGCCACACGCCAGGGCCGAGGGGCAACCTGGGCACGCGGGGCTCGCTCACGCACGCGTGTCACGCACACACACACGCACACACACACATATATAAATGTACAGTTTATAAATAACAGAAACACAAACCGAAGGAACAGAACTGAACCGAGCCTGGATCTCAACACCTACCCCCAACCCCTTTCAGGAGAGGGTCATGTTTAGGTCCAGTTGTTGGCAGTTGCAGGGGAGGGAGACAGGAGAGAAGGAATGGGGGGGGAAGGGGACGACTCTACCGTAACGAGACTGTGTCCTGATTTGAATTTCTTTTCATACTGGCTCAGGAAACTAAGCAACAACTCCAGAAGGTGTTGGCACTGGAACTTCTAAGATTTTAATAACTCGCTGTGGAAGGATTTAAGCGTTCCTGCTAGTTCAGCAGAACGCGCTGTGTTCGGTAATTTGCAAGTCTGAGGTGAACCAGGAGTTTGTGACAGCTCAGGGCGGGGGGAGCAGTGCCTTGGCTCGTGGTTGAGGAGAAGATTAAGCTGTACTGTGCTTAGCTTCAGCACGGAACAATTGTTTTGTGGCTGTTTCTCTTTTTCCAGCGCTTACGGAGAGCACTGACTGCATCCCAAAATTACTTCTGCGTACGAATGGAAACGTGCTGCTGGTGGGGCGCCCGCCCCCGGGCCCTGTTAGCGCTTCCATTCCTCTACGTTCCTCCTCTCTTGGAAACCTTCCGTCTCTCGCAACACAAGTATTTTAGAACTCAAACCCAAGCAGCTCTAAACATACACATCTCAGGGCAACAACGCTTTAAAATAGTCTTTTTGCAAGGTTCTTAGGACGGGTTTGACTCTGAGACAATGGCAGCTGTAAGTGCACGTACCCAGCGGTCACCGTACCCCGGGTGTTCCTAACCTGTCTGCGTCTTTCTCCAGTTGTAACCTTGTCAGTTTTGTGAGGTTCTTCAAAGCCATCTGTGCTAGTCTCCAAAATTCAAAGGTGACTGTACTTGTCATAAACACTTAGTTATGACTTTTCTCTGAGGAGCTCCGTTTGGGGGCTGCTGTGACCGCACCACTCTGCAGGCGTTGGCGGGCTGCCGAGACCTCGGGGCAACGCGGTCGCTCCTCCGGGGACCGAGCCGCACCGGGCTTGGCCCAGGGCTTCCAGGGAACAGAAAAACGTTTAGGGGGGAGAAGAAAAAAAAAAAAAATCATCTTTAATTTTGAAAACAAATGCATGTGGAAGAATGCTGTTAAGGAGCCTTACGGCTGTGGGGCAGCATGGCAATGCAGAGCTTACTGGCAAAGTGTCCTGCTCGGGCAGCCTGGCTGGTGGGAGGCTGGAGACGGAACCTACGCTGTGCGGAGCTCAGGGAGCATCAGTCCCTCGGCCTGTACATTTACACACGGCAGGAGGAGCCAGGACAGGCGTGGAGTAGTGTGTTAGGCTTTAGTGGGAGGAATAGGCAGATGTCCTGTACACTGTACACTGTCAGCCGTGTCTCAGAGAGATCTCTCTGGCTCGTGGCGAGTGACCTGCTCTGAGAGTGGGAGTCCTGAAGTACTAACTTAAAAAAAACCAAAAACACCACAAACCAACAAACACACCGTGGCGGCAGGTCAGCGGCACCATCCCCCCGTTAAGGAGGTGACCCCTCCGCTGAGCACAACGTGTCTGAAAGTGCCGAATCCGCGTGTTTCAGCGGTTGGGAAAGTCTAATCCTGGCTTATGCCTGCACAGTGCTCCTGACAAGGGGGCTCTCGCTGGTGGCTGCTGTCCTTGTTGGTTACTCCCTTATGACCATGTTTTACATTCTTCGAGCCGGTTAATTTCCATGCAGTGCTCATTCCCAATTTAAAGAGGATAGTATTCCAGAAAATGGGATCTTTTTTTTTCTAATGCATACTGTGAAAGAAAAGAAATACAATTACCGATCTTCATGGGTCTTCAGGGCTTTTTCTTGTTTCTTTGTCTGTTTTTCTCCCCAGAAACAGTAAAAATCTCGGCATTACATCCCCACAAGGAACCCTTTGTCAAGCAAGACGCTGGCCATTCCGTGTAGCCCCTCGCTCCCCCTCTGCCACAACGGGCACCAGGAAATCCAGCCCCTGAACCTCACCCACAGCTCGGGGACCGAGCTCAGGTGATGGTGACTTTATTCTGTGTCTGGAAGAGTGTGTGTGGGGGGACAGTGCCCTGGGGCTATTGCTTATAAAGACTCTTCCCCGTTATTGGTGAGAGAGGAGAAGCCGTAGAGGGGAATTGAGGGGATTGAGTCGCCGTTCACTGGGTGCCAGCTCCTCCCTCCACTTGCGTGCCGGAGCCCTGGGCTTGCTCCGCTCCCCGGGGCTGCGCGGGGACCCTGGCAGCCCCAGCAGCACCAGGCATGCCCTTCTCCGCCGCCCGGCCGTCGCGGCTCCCCACACAGCACCCCTTTGGCAACCACCCTGCGCAGAGCACCCTGACCTCTCAGCTGCACTGCGCTCCCGTACGGGCGGAGTTAGTTAAAGACTAATTAGCCACGTGAATACCCCGTGGATGGTCACCCTGTAAAAGTCGGCGGCCTGACAAAAGCCGCACTGGGACGGAGGGCTGGGCTGGGGTTTGCTCTGGGAGAGGGCTGTGCTCCACAGGGAGGCACATGAGGAGCGGGCCAGGCATCACGGCTGTCCCTCGTATGGCTACGTCCAGCAGCACCCTTGAACTGGACTCACTGGGCCGCTGCCTGCTGCAGGCGCTGCCCAGCTCCCTTTATTTCGCTTACTGCAATGACAAGGATGTTATTCCTTGCTGGGAGGGGTGAGGCATATCCTTTGGGCAGTTTAGAAGGAAAAGGTTACTTTTGTTTGAACATTAAACACTGATTTAAAACCAACAGTGACAGCAATTCTCCAATATCTGTTATTTCCTTATGCCACTCATCTCACACTCCATCTCTCCGGCCCCTCAAGGTGCTGGCATTAGCATCTCCCACAAAGGCTCAGTCAAGCGCGCCGTCCGCGGTGAGGAGCTGGGTTCTCGGGGGAGAGAGCAGCCGTTCTCTGAAGCCGCGGCTCACACCTGCTGCTGCACGGTCTCTCTGGCCAGGCCTCCTCTCCTGCGGCAGCACCCTCCGCGGGTTAACAATTACTGCTGTTTCTGAATTCTCCATTCTCTGTAATCTGCAATTTAGTTGGGTTTGTGGGGGAGATCCCATTACGTGTCTGCATGCTGTACCTCTCTTTCAGCTGAGTAAGGGCACTCATTAACCGTGCGTTGGCAGCATCCAGGGAAGCAATGCGTTTCTCCTGCAATCAAAGGGGCAGAGGGGAACAGTCAGCGGAAAGGCACGGAGACCAGTCCCTCTGTGACGTCCTGAGACAGCGGCCCAGAGGCCTCTTGGACCAGGACGTTTCTCTTTGGCATTCTCAGGTGTGTTTTTTTAAGTGTGTTTTTTGAAACCCGCTGCTATTATCAGGGCCACAAACGTACGTTGCCTGTGGAATGTGAGCTGAATTCATTTTAGCATCCTGAAGAAATCGGAGATAACATACCTTCTCTAATTCTTCAGTTACACAGAAATTCATTCTACTGTTTGCTCTAACTGCAGCTGTTACAAAGATGATAAGATTCCTTTCCTAAAACCAAGCTCTCCCAAGACAGTTATTCCTGTCAGTGTTTAATTGATTTTGTTAGTGTAAATTAATAGTTTAAATGAGTCGTGGCCTCCCAGGGTGGCTTTGATGGCAACTCTCACCGATTGCAGTATCGTAAGGATGGGAGCAAGAGGCTCCGTGCTGCAGCCTGCTCCTGCCACCCCTGCTCTTTGCAACCCTGAACAAGTACCATCCCTCTCTGCCCGCTGTTACTGGGAGGGAACCGGACCAACTCGGAGGGGCGCAGGAAGTTGCCTCTGTGTAACTTCCAAGGTCCACGTAGGAACATGCCCAACATTATTGTGCAGCCTGAGATGACAAAAAGAGAACAGGGCAGAGTGGCTCACGGTAGGAGCCCCCCATGTAAGATGGAAGGCGGCACGAGATTTTGAGCTGCTGCAGCTGCACCACCCACACCGTACGGACACCCCTGGGTCTGCCAGGCTTTGCCGGAACGCGGAAGGGAACACGAGGATGTACTAGCTTTCAACAAATTACTCTGCAGAAAAACAGCGATTCTTTTTACAAAGTTCCTACTGGCTCACCTCCTTTTTAATTAGCTATACAGTAAATTTGTCATGAGCAGTGACTCACAAGCGATTAATAGGGTTGTAAAGAGTAAGCCTAGAATATCCTGTCACCTAGACACAACCTGTCGGAAGGCCTCGCTGCTGAGAAATGCTGATCTCTGCCTAGACAAATTAAAAGATTATGGACCGTATTTTCAGATTCTCTTTTCCAAGCATCATGTTTTGCATCCATCATCTGATGCTCCTCTGCCATTGTAATCTATAGCAATAACTGAGCTTCCCGATCCTGAAGGTACAACCCAGAGGCTGAAAAAACATGTTAGCTTTGCCCGGGGCAGTCTGTGTGTTCCTTGTTTCCAGGTCCTGCAAGCATTACTGGAACATGAAGCACCAAGCAAAGCTCTGGAGACCTCAGACTGAGCCAACGAGGATATGATCCTTCCACAAACTGACCCAACTGTGGGCATGATACTTCCACAAACTGCCACCCCCCCACATCCTCTGTGCTGCCTGCCAAGCGCCAAGGCTGGAAATGGCCGTACGAA